GGAGAGGGGAAGAGGAGGGGCGGTAATGGGAGGGAAGGGGAGAGAAGGGGAGGGAAAGGGGAGGGCATGGGAGGGAAAGGGAGGGCATGGGAGGGAACGGGAGGGAATGGGAAGGGGAAGGGGAAGTGGAAGGGGAAGGCAAGCAGAGGGGAGAAGAGGAGGAGAGGAGGAGAGGAGGGAAGGGGGAAAAGGGGGTGGGAAGGGATTGCAGGGCAGAAGGGAAGGGGAGGGGTAGGGAAAGGGAGGGAAGGAGAGGAGAAGCAAGGGGGTAGAATGGGTAGGGAGGGGAAGAGGAGGGCAAGGAGAGGGCAGCGGAGGAGAGGGGAAGAGCAGGGAAGGTAATGGGGAGGGAAGGAGAGAGAAGGGGAGTAAAAGGGGAGGAAATGGGAGGAAATGGGAGGGGAAGGGGAAGGAGAAGGGAAGGGGAAGGAGAGGGGAAGGGTAGAGCAGGGGAAGGGTAGAGCAGGGGAGAAGAGGAGAGGGGAGGGGAGGGGAAGGAGAGGTGAAGGGAAGGGGAGGGGGGAGGGGAAGGGAAGGGGAAGCTCACCTAGAAGGATCTTTGAGGAGAGATACCCTCCAAAAATTGACTTGGCAATTTGAAAGCATTGTCGGGGTTGCAGTCGGGAGTGAGCAAGACTCTTTTCTTGTCCAATCACGATCTTCAATTGCGGTGCTAAATCCTCGAACAGTTCAGCAGCCCCTTCCCAGTCCCCATCTCCTCCTCCTCCTCCTCCTCCTCCTCCTCCTTCTCCTCCCCCTCCCTCTTCGCCGACCTCAAATTGTTGGTCGGCACTCCTCAACTTTGCTCGCGTTATGTCTCGCTTCCTCCTTTGATGCCATAAGTAGTGCCGCAAGGCCCCTAAGAAAGGCACCGGTAATGGGGGAAATGGAATGGGGACGGAGCGCTGAATTTCCTTCAGAATCCTATGCCTGCAGAATAGAAAGAAAGAGAGATCCTCCTGCAAGAGTCAAATATACAAATATACAAAATCCCATCACTTCACGACAAGTGACCACACTTTTCTTGAAATTTGAAGTTTTCGTTGATTGGATTGTTTGTTTGTTTTCCGTTTCTTCTTTTCTCTTTTTCCTTACATTTCTTCCAGGAAAGCAACAGAAAAGACATGGATGAAATGATATTAACATCTTAAAAATTTTGAAATTTATCATAAATGATAAATCTCTTATCACTAGCTTATGAATCAGTGATATCATAAAACAAGACCCAGTTTGCAAATTTGAAATTCAAAACTTAGAACAAGCGGATTCAACAGTCGAGTTTGATCACTTTCCTCCCCCCTTTGACCTAAATGATTGCAAGTTGCAACATTCTTTTAAGGTGCACGACATTTCAGCTAACGCCAACGCGTTTTCACATTTCAGCTAAGTTGAGTCACATTTCAGCTAAGTTGAGCTAATGCCAATGCATGTAATGCCAACGTGTTTTCACATTTCAGCTAAAACTAATGCATTTTGAGATTGGCGTCATTGGAAGGGCTACGAATAGAAGATCGCAAAGTTCATCAACGACAAAAAAATTATGACCGTGAGCAATCCTGTTTACCAAAAAAAAAAAAAAAACTATGTTATCAGAGTGACCTGGGACCACTTGCCTGGTCGGGCGAAAAATGAATTAAAAAAACGTTGTTTGACGATTATATATACTTTTATTTTTTATTTCTAATTTCGCAAAGAACTCCAATCCGACTCTGTTGTGCAATTTATTTTTCTGCACAACGCAGTTGTTTTTTCAGATTTTTTGGATTTTTCTGCCCGGCCGGGCCACCGGGCAACCCATGTGACCCGGATTCGAACCACTAACACAAGGATTTTCAGTCCTTTGCTCTAACGAACTGAGCTACCTAAACAAAAACAAAATCAAACTATGTTCAATTCATAAAAGGTAATTCAAAGATTACTAAGTACAAAGGCACATTTTCATAATCGTACACCTACTTCAGACTTTCAACCATATTTGTACGGATTACGAAATGAAATCGCTATTATTGATTTAGAAATCACACTTTTTTATTTACGAAGAGCTTGTAATTTCATCGAGTATATAATTCGTTCAAATGGTCATATATTATTTGTAAATACTAATCCACAAAACAATCAAATAATTCAGAAAATGGCAAAAGAAACATGTCAAAGTTATATAAATCATAAATGGATTGGAGGTTTTTTAACCGATTGGAAGCACATTTTTCATGCACAAGCGCATTTTCAACACTTTGAAAACCCGGTTGCAAAAAAAACAAAAAGAGAGAAATGTAAAAAGAGCAATGCAATCATCACATACATTGCATGGATAAGTACCAAACAGGAAGGAGTTGGGCCCACAGAGTCTTGCCGGACATTCATAAAAAATTGGAACGATACAAAGAAGATTAGCATGGCAAAAAAAAGGGGGAAGAAAAAAGGGAGGAGTTGGGGCTGCAGAGAGGTTTTCAAAGTCCAACAACATGAAGACTCACAAACGTATGGAGCAAACCTAAGTTATATGACGCTATTCACTATTCAGTAACAATTCACCTACCGTCTTCACCCAAATAGAACGCCCGGTCATTCCAGCTGCATTTGGACTAAAAATTGCCCCAAATACAGCTATAATGGCTGGGTGTTCTATTGGGGTGAAGACGGTAGTTCATGCATCTGCCAGACCACAGGCCTACCATCATCACCTGAATAGAATGTACACTGTACAACCATTATAGTTGTATCTAGACTGAAAGCTGCACTAAATGCAGGTATAATGATCGTACGTCGTATTCAGGGGAAGACGGTAGTATCCCAGCTTGGCCAGTCGGTCGCTCGTGGAGGGGAGATTTAAAGGTGAGCCTGATGGTAGGCGCATAAACCACCTGTACATGCCAGCCATCGTCTGTGGGCCCCTTTTGGAGGCTGCCTGCCATCGATTTATTTTATCGACGGCGCGTGAGCCTCCTAAATTTTAGGAGAAGCTCGATCACACTCTCAACTTTGCGGGTCGATCGTCATGGGACCCTTTCGGCGCACGATTTATTTTATCGACGGTGCAGGGCCATGTACTGGTACTTTAACGCTAGACAGATGGTGGACGATATGCCGGGGATGATGCAGTGAGCATGGGTCCGAACCCTGGATTGTGCTGGTCACCATGCAGGTCGATCGGCATTCGCAATTCCATAAGAGTGCTGGTGTTTTCTAGAAGTCAACGAAGTAACGAGGCAGCATGGACAGTTGCCATGCTACCTCCATACCTGGAGCATAGAGGGAAGATGAGGAGTCAGACGGGTGATGCAATGACCAAGGTCTCAATCGATTCCTGGATTGTTTGCCTAGAGAGGCAGTGAGTTAATCATTGGTAGGCCCAGGCCCACATGTATGTAGGGCTGGAAGAGCTGATTGAGGACCCATCGGGCCATTCTGTACAAGTGCTTTAGTGGGTTTAGATCATGGTTACGCCGGACGTGGACATCGGACCAGTCCAGACGTCCAGCTGGACCTGTGTTTGGACTGCTCCAGACCGTCCGGATTGAAAAAAAAAAAAAAAAATTATGAAAAAAAAAACATTTTTTTGAATCCCCCCCCCCCACTTGGATTTGGCTACGAATTTCGATATGGTCCTGAGCCAAAAGATTTTTGTATTGCAATGCTGCACAACATATCTTTTTTCCCAATTTTTTTAATTTTTTTTTTTTAGTCGGATTTTTTTGGGGGGTGGGGGTGGGGGGATGGATCCGGACACTCTGGGCCAGACACCAGACCCGGACATCCAGACCCAGACCGTCTGCACTGCAGTCAGGACGTCCGGATCGTAACCATGGTTTAGATAGGGTTTAGGGGTCAGTGGGTTGAGGGTTGAGGTCTGAGGGCTTAGGGTTTACGATTGGCAGTTTACTGGGTTTAGGTAGGGTTTAGGGTTTAGTGGGTTTAGTGTTTAGTGTTTAGGGTTTAGTGGGTTTAGGGTTTCGAGTTAACAGTTTAGTGGGTTTAGGGTTTAGGGTTTAGAGTTTGAAGTTTTGTGACATCGGTATACTTCATACTTGGAGCATAGAGGAGGGAGGCTGAGGGATAGGAACAGAGTTTGAACCCTGAATCTCACTCGAATGCCCACTGCTGATCATCTTGCACACGAACCTCTTGACTCCAGCATTTGTTTTTGTTTTTTTTTGTTTTGTTTTTTGTTGTTGTTTAGGCTTTCCGTGCAACAAGAGTGTGACCAAGAGATAGACTGGCTCTCTAACTGGCATTTCGTTCATCTAGTTCCCTGGATTCGAACTCAGCTTTGTGTTTCAACAGTTTGTGGGTGTACCACAGAAAATTAATTGTGAAATCGACAGGAGATGATGTTAACATAGTTGCGGCGCACTGCTACGGTGCGCAGTGCAGCGCGGGGCGCTGTGCGCCATGCGCGAGAGAGTGGTGCACGTGCGCGGGAAAAAAAACAGAAAAAAAAGAAAAAAAAAAAGAAAAAAAAAAGAAAGAAAGAAAGAAGGAAAGTCGTGCGTGTGTGTGTGTGTGTACGCGCGTGTGTGAGAGAGATAGAAAG